TTGAAAGAGTTGCGTTTAGTTGATAACCCCCTTTTTATAATACTTTTTTTTATTATTGTATTTAGATAATAATCCCCTTATATCTGGAAGAATAGATAACTCCTAAATAGATATTTCTTCTCAATATAAAGGAATAGTTGATGAATAATATTTATGTGAATTTCAATATGTTGTCTAATTATTTGTTCCTGGGCAATATAAAGAAGCAATCATTTTAAGTGCAATATACCCATTGTTTTATATGAACAACTTGGTATTTCCCTTTGAGCATATATATATTGTGTATATATTTTATTAAAAAAAAAATTTCCAAAGTATTTAGGCGATAATTCCTCTTTTGCAATTTTAATGATAAAACTGTACTAAAAACCGAGGACTCCAGTAATGACGTCGTCTGATGAAGCCCAAGGAAGGTGGGCGAAAGGCATAACTATAGTTATCCTTGGGAATCTACCAGGAACTGGTCGGCATTTATTAATCTGTTTGAGCGAGATTGTGGGTACCAGACTGGGAGAATACGCAACATGTATTTCTTGGTATCACCCAATCACCCAATATATTTAAAGAATAAAACCTCTATAAACATACACACAAAAATAAAGGATTGCATAAAATAACTGATCTCAACAAATCATATGAGCATTTAGTCACACCATATGTGTTATATCCACTTATTGTGATGTTTCAACATCTATTTTATTTAATTTTACATTCTATGTATGATATTTTAAAAACATGTTTATACATATATCAAAACTTTTTTTGCTAAATCGGTTTTTATTTAGGCGTGAGCATAACTGTATACTTATGCAGAGGTTATATTTGGAACATAAGAGAGATGCAGCATACATATGTGCAATGTCACATGTCAACAGAAATGCAAAATCAAATGGAAAATGTGCCCACAAAGTGTGGTTTTACAGCATGCTTCGTCGCCTGTGGAATAATGGGGCCCTTGAATTTTATTGATAAAATTAAGGAGAATATGTAAGAAGAGTGCATCGCACGAGCCTCTGAGGTGGTAATAGGTAGGCTAGTGGGTACTAATGGTGTGGCTGGTTCACTTAACGCAACAATATATGAAGAATAAAAATGAAATGAACTTATCAGAGTATGTGTTTACTAATGGTGGGTAGCCAACTAGTACCTAGCATAGACTAGCGAGGCTTTAGGCACATATGAGTGGCTACAGAGGGGAGGAACTCCATATCCCTGGATCTCAAAGGGGGGGGGGTGGTAGTTTTGTGCGAGTGAGGTATATGAGTGGGGTAAGTAACTGTGTTCCTTGGTACAGGCTCATAGTAGTAGGGGGGCCTTTGGGGAGGTATATCATCTGGTATTAAAACACTATAATAACAGTAACAAAGCATATTAAAGTGAAACAGTCTCCTAAAACAAACATGAGAGAAGTAGATTCTGCACTACAAATCCTTCTGCTCTCAATGGGAACCCTGCAGCTACAGCACCTTTTCAGCCTGGGGCTGTGGATCCCCATGTGGTAAAGGCCGCTATATTGGCAACGTCCCATTGATGTAATAGGCCTGGTTGTGGTGTCTGGGGCCAGTGATTGTAGGAACCTTGGTGCCTCCAATGGCGATGTAAGCAGGTATCGCTGGCCGTCCCTTTCAGGTAGCCCCACTTATATGGTATTTCGACTGCTCTTAGGTGTGAGGTCACGTCTTTAAGTTAAGTTAGCTCCGCCCTCAATAAAAAAACCTTTTCAAATACCTTTTACTGCACATTATGTTTAATTTAGAATGTATTATTTTGTACTCTGTTAATAGCCTTGTAAACCATTTTTCATGTAAGCTGTGTGAGTCACAGCTTGAGTTTGGCTTGGGATGCTTATACAGAAACAAAGATGATTTAACTTCTAAATAGCAGAGAACTGAACAGGGACACTGCAGGGGAATGATCTATACACTACAATAGCTTCTTTAATCTTGTTAAGTGGTTCTGATGCCCATATAATATATATTCCTAAACCTGCAAAAGAGTGTGTTTAGTGTTTGAACAGACATTTGACTCACTAGGGCTGCCACCATGCCTTTGACCTTTGAACGTTTTTGCATGGAAGAAAAGACACAGAAAAGGCTTATTACAACTTTATACGCGCACATTAGCAGTACAGCGGGGGAGGAATGGAGTCTCAAATATGCTAAAGTGGGAAGCAGACATTGGAGACAGGGAACTGGGAAGACATCTGGGAGGCTGCAGTAAAATCATCAATGTAACGGATCGCCTGGCAACCCGACTGGGTACCTTCTATTGACTGATGCGCCTAGTGCTTCCCGAGGGCTCCAAGCACTCCACCAGACACCATAACCACCGCAGACCCCACGAACCACTGCAGCTTGGTTGGGGTCTCGCCGTCTTCCACCTGCTCTGGACCCAAGACCAGGGTCCAGCTTCCAGTAGGTAGACCTCTCTTAAATCCAGAGAGCAGGAACAGGAACAAGCTCTTTCCAGAGCTTAGTGATTATACACTGGGGAGTATAGTGATTATAGCAATCCCCAGAGTGTAGTTCTCCAATCCCCCAAACATGAGTCAAGACTTCATAAAGGTGCAAGATGATCTGTTTAATGGGGGCCACAGCTTGACCTTTTATGCAGGTCCTCCAGCAAGGGATACTCCCACAGGGACCTTGTGGAGGACTGGAATACAATTACAGTAGCAGAAAAAGGAGAGGATAAACAAATACAGAGAGACCATAGGGTTAAAATGAATCAGTCCCAAAGGCTCCCTGTATGTGCAGTGCAACCCAAAGGGAAGTAATTTAAAATGTAACTTTTAATTAGATACCTTCTAAAAATCAAAGCCTAAATAATAGGTGATAGGTAACAAACCAATATATAAATAAATAAAAAGGAAAAGAGAGAGAAAAGGAGAGCTAGGTAATAACTAGGTTATAACACAGGGAAAAAAGGTTTTCTAATAGATCCCAAATGAGTCCAATCGTGTCTATATTAAAGAAAACCCTAAATCTGTCTCACTGTGTAAACACTAGTATTGCTTGTACTATCTCCTATCTCTCAGTGATCTCAGGCATAAAACACCTGCCTAAGTGTAACAAAAAAAACAAACAAACAAAAAAAAAAACCTTGATTGAAGGTACACCAAGGTACTAATATCTAGAAGTCAAACTATAGAGAGGGTGGTCTGCACGGAGCATCCTATAAAAGTATTATAATAGCTGCAGCATCGTCCCCAGTACAACTCCATCCACCCGCTCACTAACTAATCCGGACGCGCATTTCGCCACATAGGCTCTTCCAAGGGAACCGAGCTGAATGCCGGCCGTCGTTAAAATAGCCCGCCCTCCTCTGTGATTGGTCACCATTCAGACCAATCGCGAGCGAGGGGGCGGAGTCAAATACTGATGCCGGTTAACCCGTGATCGCTGGGGAAGCCGGCACGGATGATTAATATAATAAATGGGTATCTTGTAAACGATCAAGGTGAAATATCATAGTAAATGAATAAATAATTGAAGTAGAATATAATGTAAGGAAGTGCATACATAACTGGCAGACTTATAAGTGACGGTATCCATTGCTGTTAAAAAATAACATGTGTGGATACAGTTATATCATTGCATAATTAGTATACAGATTGTAGAAGAACTGTATACAGAAGCTTTAGTTCTTGTGTAGGAATTGCTAGTAGCAACTTAAATACATACTAAAAACAGGCTTAAAGCGATAGGTCTTATATACAAGAGGATATATAAGACCAAAATTGTGCAGATTAATTGTATTTGACATTGCTCAATAATAGTAAGGAGGATAATAATGAGATTATAAATAGCACAGTAAACTGTGGATATTTAAAAAAGGTATGATGTTCCATATATAAAGAAAAAGGAAATGAAACTTAGTACTGGATTCAACCATCAATCTTAAAGGAACTATACTGGTAGAGACCTAGTTAAGAATGGATGAATGGAGTAAAATTGAACTCCTCATTCAATCCTTTGGGGTATAGTGTTTGAAACAAATAAATCCAACGAGATTCAGCTTTCAGTAATGCTATATTAATATCCCCTTTCCTGTGGTTTTGAAAGACCTTTTGAATTACTTGGAATTTGAGTACATTGGGTCTGGAATTGTAATTTATACGTACGTGTCTTGCTATCGGAGTGTCCAAGTGTGGATTTAGAATTGAATTGATGTGTTGCAAGACACGTCGACGTAATTGTTGATAGGTCTTACCAATGTACTGTAATCCACATTCACATGTGATGATGTAAATGACATTGGTGGAACCACAGTTAATAAAGGAGTTCACCTCAATATCTTTTGCAGTTTTATGATTCCGTACTTTCTTGGATGGTAAAATAAAATCACAGGCCTTACAGTGCCCACATCTGAGCCAGGTTGGTTTGGTTGATGGTGGTTTTAAATGACTTTGGGTAAGGAGGTCTGCAAGGTTCTTTGCTCTTCGATACGTTAAAGAGGGTTTGTTGGTAATGGTGTTCTTGAGACATGTGTCATATTGGAGTAATGGCCAGTTGCGATTAAATACCTGTAAGGTGTTATTCCAATTCTTATCATAAGTCCCTATGAGTCTGGTGACCCCGACGGTGGATTGAGTAGTCTTGGGGGGTTTGTGTAAGCTCTCAGATCTGTCTACGGTTTTTGTTCTTTGGTAGGCTTTTTTGAGAATACGATTCGGATATCCTAGACTTTTGAATCTCTGTCTGAGGATTTTCGCTTCTCTTTCAAAGTCTTCTGGGTTGGAACAGTTTCTTTTTACCCTAAGGTATTGGCCATATGGTATGTTGGCCTTTATGTGAAATGGATGGAAACTGTCCCAGTGTAATAGACTGTTCGTAGCGGTAGGCTTTCTATATAATGAGGTGGATATTAGTCCATCCTCTGACAGAGCGATTGTGAGATCCAAAAAGACTCCGTGACTCTCATGGATGACATGAGTGAGTTTAAGGTTTATTTGGTTGATGTTCAAAGCATCTACCCAATCCTTAAATAGTGAAAAAGAGCCTAACCAAAATATTAGCACATCGTCAAAGTAGCGAAACTATTTAAAAATTGATGAAGTGTACATGGCATAGATACTGGTAAACACTATTACACAATTACAGTAGCCAATCAAAATATAATACAATGTGAAACACTCCCACACAAACAGTAAAATCACTCCCCTCTATCCTGGACATATTTGTCTTAAGTGGCTGTAATAAACTTAATTATCTCCAGGTACAGAAAATATCTCTAAGTTACAACTGCAACACAACACATTAAAATATATAACTTATATTCCACAGAACTGAACCCCCACATTTGACATATCCCCAGATAGCTTGAATCTTAGCGCTCAATATATCCGAACAGTGCTCCGATCCCACGAACATAGTCGAATCGCCATAGGGTTCAAGTGTTTTCACCGACCGTTCAGCAGAAATCTTTCCAAAATTAGGTCCATGGCTTTTAGCTATCAAGGTCGGTCTATTTTCAATGTTAAAAGTGCACTATAGTACAAGGAAGGGTGGGGTCAAACAATAGCAAGGGCTGAGATGAGATTGAGGAGGGACAAAGCAGCCCGTTTAAACAGGTCTGGCAGTGTCCCTGGGACAACGCCCTGCTGGGGAAACAATAGGACAGGAAAAAGGAGAAGGGGAAGATGCACTTTTTCCCATGGAAGTCATTTTTAACATGTCTTTTTGCAGGGCCCATAGTCTTTGGGCAAGAGGCTGGCAAGCAGACCTCTCCAAATTCCAGTGACGAAGGTGCTTTCGTCACAATCAATATATGTCACCCATCAGGAGCAAACTTATAAAATACTATATCGATGGTACACAACACTGGTACAGCACTGCAAGATGGGTAAGATAAAGACGGATGTCTGGTGGTCAAGGAACATATATCCATATGTGGTGGAAGTACCCAAGAGTCCAGGAATATTGGAAAAGAGTTGGGACTTTACTTGTATTTAGTGCAATACTACTTAGGCCTATGCTAGTTATGGCATTTAAAAAAAAAATAAAAATAGCCTCTCCCCAAGTGAAGCATCTCGAGAAATCTAGTTTCACAAACAGTACCAGATTTAGCCATGATTGACTTAACTCCAACAGGCATAGGTCCTTTTATGAAGACAAAAAGCAGAAAATGAAAGAGTTCAACATGTGCATTTGAGTGTGTGTTTTAATTACACGGAAAACAAATTGCTGAGGCATTTTTTCCTTTCGCAAGTATTTGCTTATAAAATGCCATTAGAGCCTAAATATTGCTGCTTCATTAAACAAAGAAAGGGGAGAACAAAGGAGCCCAATATACATTCAATTTACACTGTAAGCTTTTAATTGTATATCTGAGAGAACAAACACACTTTATATTTTTCCATAAATATGAAACTCAGAAAAAAAAAAATATATATATATATTTTTTTTAATATGCATAATTTAATAGCAGAAATGTAATGAATATTGCTTGCTTTTTAATGCCTGACAAATGACGATAAAATGTTTTTTATTAGCATGAATTAACAATGAAGCTGTCGCAGACTTGATTAACAGAGCGAAAAATTTGGATTGAAGCAGAGCTGAATGATCTCTGCTTGTGTTGTGTTTACTTCGAATTAAAGGGATGTTATTCCTTTAATTCTATTTATTAAAGGTTTTGGGTGGACCTTTCCATGTTGAAAGACGAATCTTGGCGATGTTTAATGTCTTGGTGTAACTGATCATTCAACAGTAACATATGGTATTAACATACTTTTAAGGAAAATGTCTCTACAATGAGACTTCACACCAGAAAGATAGACAGATGGCATCTATTTAGGCTCAGATACTTGTTTCATCTTCTATTCTGGCAGTACTATCTTTTTGTTCTTTCAAGTGTACAGTGTAGATTTATACAGGTCCAGTTATTATATAAAAATATAGGTGATTTTAATACTCTTTTCCTGAATCTGGTTGGACCGACATTGTCTTAGTAAATACATCCCCATTATATTTTGAACGACAGGGAAGCCAGTGAAAATTCTATTGAAACCCTCTCCCTCCTCCCCCCAACCCCCCCAAAAAAAACTCTGTGTGAGTGTAATTACAATGTGGTTCTACTTGCATAGATGTTTCTGTAATACACAGTGCGTGCTGTCTGTGTGCCATTCTACTCTAAACTGACACATCCATTCTAAAAGATACTACTCACGTATGTCACATCCCCTCTTACTAATTTTGTAAACTATACGCAAAAATATATTCTTAGCCCACTGAATAATGCAGACAGCGGTAGCCTTAAATGTGGACTAAATAAACATACAAAGAGGTGTTGGGGCAAAATATAATTCTTAATGAAATCTACAGTATCATTGCCACTGCTTCTGTTGTAATTTATCCAATTTTGTTGCAGTATGGCTTGTTGTTTTTTAAATAACCTCAAAATTGTCATGGAATTCTTCTTTTAGAGACGTAATAGATAAAAATTCATTACAAGAATACTGTGGTTTTTTTTTTGTCATGTTGATTAAAAATATATCTCAATACTTCAGTGTTCATTTATTTACTACTGTGTCTCTCTGTAAGAGGTTACTTCTCTAAGCATACTAGAAAAGGAATGGTTGTTTTGTGATGGAGTGCGTGCATGGCACAGAATATATTCAGAAGATAAGCCATATGCCAGTTCTCTGGTTGGATGTAGCCTTCAGCGACTTTGGGGTATATGGAAAAGGCAGTGACAGCTTTACCAACTATAACCTCCATTTAAGAAGATGTCAAATGATTCAATACCGTTAGTAAATTTCCAACGGATTTATCTTAAAAATTCCCATAGACTCTATTGGTGACTTCTATAGATATATCACTTTGAAACTTCTGTAAAATGATTGAATCATTTGAAAAGCATATTAAATAGAGGCCTATGTACTTAAACATTTTATGATTCATTTACTCTAGTGTAGCAGCATGGCTTATAACTTGCTTTGTATTTCATGTGTCCTTTTTTAGTACCCACTGCTTGGTTTCTTCTCACTTGGTTTAGTCTTCCTGGTAGTCTCTATGTAATATTGACATTTGAAATAAAGACCCTAGTTGAGTTCTTTGCTTTTTCTTTCCCCCAAGATAAAGAAATGTAGCTAAGGCCAGATTTACATGTCAGGTGCCAGTAGACAGAATATTCTGAGGTATCTTTTTCAACCTAATCCCAAAATAAGGCAGATAAAGTAAATTTGTCTTCATGTGAAGGTCTGCATGTGACTGTGTGTGTGACTGTCTGCTTGTAACTGTATGTGTATGACTGACTGTGTGTGTCTGTCTGCCTGTGACTGGCCAAAGTTAGCGTTAATATTTTGTTTGTGTGTGAAAAATTCAAAAAACCAATCTGAACACCAATTTTGGCCAATGTTTGTGACTAAGTGGCTTCTAAAAAAGACTGGACATATCCCATCTGCAATACCTTGGGTTGTCTACTATTTCAAATGGTATGCCATCATGGGGTTAATTTTTATTCGTGGGCTACCATATGGTCTCAAAGGCAACGTAACCAATCTGGCGAATTTCAATGTGAAAAAACTGAAACACAAGCCTTATATCTGACTCGGTAACTTTTGAAAACACCATAAAATCTGTGGTACTGTTATACTCAGGAGACTTCCCTGAACACAAATATTAGTGTTCCAAAACAGTAAAACGTATCACAACAATATCGTCAATGTAAGTGCCATTTGTGTGTGAAAAAATACAAAAAAATTCACTTTCACTGACGATATCATTGTTGTAATACATTTTACTGTTTTGAAAAACTAATATGTGTGTTCAGAGAAGTCTCCCAAGTAAAACAGTACCCCCCATGTAGAGGTTTTATGGTGTCTTGGAAAGTTACAGGGTTAAATATAGTGCTAGCAAATAAAATTCCCTAGACTTTCTGCCTGGATTGTCAGGCAGGTCCCGCAAATTGGAATTAGTAAAATTACCTAATTATGTAAAAATATTACATACATATAAACGTAGACTTAAAAAAAAATAAAAAAAAATAAATATATATATATATATATATATATATATATATATATAATTTTTTAAAATTATTTTTATTGATATATAGGTATATAGTGGTATATTATTTCGTTCTACGTGTATTTTGATATCAATATATTTATATATTAATATCAAAATACAGTTAGAACAAAATTACACATATATATATATATATATATATTTTGTAATTATTTCTTTTTAATTTTTTTTAAAGATTTACATATTTATATTATAATTATATATTTAATCAATATCATTCTACGTGTATTTTGATATTAAAATATATATATATATATATATATATATATATATATATATATATTCACACACACATATATATATATATATATCTAAGTATTTATTATTTTACACTGTTTGAACTGTATTTTAATTTTTTTCAGGCAGCTGGTGGACTTCCTGTCATTCCAGGCACTCCCCCTGCTGACACTGTTATGGATGGCTATTCCGTCCATGTGATCGTGAGGTCCTCGCAATGACCTCACGACCACATGGCCCAGGGGGGCCGGATCGGCAGCAGGGGGACTCCCTGGGATGTCAGGTAAGTCCCCCCCATCGCGGGCGTGGGATCGTGGGATTGTGGGCGAGCGGGTAAGTACATAGGAAGGCGGGGATGTGCTATGCCGCCCACCGGTGTTTAGAGCCAGGTCCCTAAGGACGGCATTAGCCTACCTTAGGGTATTAAACCTCTCTGTCAACAGTGTTGCAAATAAGGTGGTTGTCTAAAAGCCAGTATATGGGATTCAGGGAGGATTTGTTTTCGTACCTCATCATCAATGAGCATTGACTGTAAATCACTGAGGATTTTCTTTATGGCCTCAAGGGTGGATTTATGTATTGTGAGTAGTGATACACATGGAGAGATTTTTTTCTCCCTTACATCGTAGCAGATGTGCATGTCGTATTAAAAGATACTGCAATACTTCACTATTTTGCATCTTTTTTATTTCAGCAGACATTTCTGGAAGTGAATCAGATCCCTCTGAAAATGTACAAAAAAAGGATATTACTAGGTAAGTATGTTCTTATACATATTCATTTTAAGTGGCTCTGCCAGCTTCGTTGATCTTTACATATTTTACAGAGACCACCGAGAGTGACATCCCCCTTAAGCTCTCCCTTGTGAGTGCCATCAGCTTCTTTCTCCCTAATATTAGAGTTTTCCTCTGCCACCCATCGGCACTCAAAGGGT